GTTGTTGGGGGGGGGGGGGTTGGATGCGGTGGAGGCGGGATGGACAGGGCATGTTCCAGGTTGGATTACTCTTCGCCAGCGCATGCAAGGTCCGTTTGGTCGGGTTGACCCCCCTTCCATCTCCACCGCCCTGCCCGTCCAAGGCTCCACAATAAACAGCAGCCGCCAGAACTCATGGCGATCCAAACACCCCCACCCCCACCATCCCCCTCGGCACCGGGGCCCAACCTGCAACTCCTTGGCCGCCCGGGCCACGGCCTGAAAGGCGTCCGCCGCGCCCGGGTGGTCGCATTTATCCGGGTGGATGAGCAGGGAGGTGCGCATGTACCGCCGCTTAACCTCCGCCGGCGTGGCCTCCGGCCCCAGGCCCAGCACCTCGTAGGGGTCCAGCGGGTCGCGCGCGGCATCGGCGGCCGCCACGCCCGCCAGCCGCGCCTCCCGCTCCCGGGCCAGGCCCAGGATGCGGGCCACCTCGGCGCTGCGGTCGTCGCTGCTGGCCAGGTCCAGCTCGCCCGCCAGGTCAGGAGGCACGGGGCCCACCAAGAAGGCATCCTCGTCGTCATCGTCAGCACCCAGCGCACCCGGCTCCGGGGAGGGCGGGAGGGGGAGCAGCGCGGCAGCTGCCAGGAACTCGGGCGGCGGCGCGGCGGGGCCCAGCACCCTGCGTGGGCCCTGCGTCGAGTCGTGATGAGGCGGGCGCCCCGCGTCCTCCTCGTCCTCCTCCACAGAGGCAGGTCCGGGGGGGGCTGATGGACTTGTGGGGCGCGCCACGGGGGCTTCCGGTGGCGGAGGGACCGCGCTGTTGGGAAACGAAGCTGCCCCCTCGACAAGCCTGGACGCTGTGGGGTCATCGACCCTTGAAACGGCGCTCACAGGGGGACCTTGGGGTGCATAGGCTGCCACCTGCCCAGCGCTCTCGGCGAGCAGAGGAGCCAGAAAGCCGATGATGGCATCGCCCTCCTTGCTCCTCTTATAGTACTGGCCCTGCACCGGTGGTGGCGAGGCTGGGCTGGGACAGCGCAGTGGATTCGGTGCTTGGCTGCAAAGGTCCTGCATTCACTGCAACAGGCCGCTGCACACAGGTGCTTCCCAATCTTTGCCACCCGGGCAACTCTTACTCATCAGCACTCACTGCGGATGTCTTCCGGACTTGAGACAGGTTTGTGAAGAGTGTGTCGAGGCGGGACTTCAGGTACGAGTCCTCCACCCCATCTATCGCCAGTGCCTCCCCAGCATCCAGCTGCCGGATGAGCTGCGTAGGCAAGGCGCGTGGAAACAGTCAATGTGGAGGTGTCCAAGAGACTGGTAGTGCTGCATCAAGAAACAATGCTGCCATCATAAGCAACGAGATCGGTGGGCGGTGCAAGACTCCCATGCCGATGTGCCTCTCCACACCACCCTACCTCTCGCAGTTCGCTCTTGAGCTCGTACTTATACGCTAGTATCTCCCGCGTGGCCTGTGCGACCGCCCTACTCTTGAATAGCTGTGTATTCACATCAGGACTGGCGTCGCTGTCGCTGCTGTCCCCCCGATTCTTGCGGGATTTGTGCTCCTTGTGCCTCTTGTGTTTCTGTTTCTTATGCTTCTTGCTCTTCCGAGAGGATGGAGAGTGGGAGCCCATCTTTGCGGTACTGAGCTCATCTGAAATTATCAGCTGACATCGACGACACTAACCTGCTTGAGGTGCTGTAGCTTGATTGTCCTCTTTGATGTGATTGCTTTCGGATGTGTTGGTGCGCGCGCGGAAGCCGTTCACCTGGCGCCTTGCATCAGGCGCCCGAACATCGGAGGTAGCAGGAGACGGGGTTACTGCCACCGCTTACACGTGCACATGCATATTCTATTTGTTTTTGGCAACTAAACTGGTGATGAGCATACCAGCGCTGTGCCTCGACCTCTTGAAGCAGTCTTGATAGGGCGCCTACAGGCCGCAGGACGCAGTCTTCGCTACTCCTCTGAAGGAAGAAGGGCCATGGCCAAGGTCAGGTCATATTTTGAGGGTCTTATTGCCTCACTTAGTCATGCTGAACGCCCTTTATGCGTACTTCTGTCGGTCATATCCGGGCTGTGTGGGAGGGCATGCTGCTCACCAAGCCACACACGCGCGACCCACGATAGGAGTCCAAGAACCGCGTGAAGACCCGGGATGAGCAGGGTGTAGACGAGGTGGTCATCGCGTCCACACCCAAGGTATGGATGGCGGAGCTGGAGTCCTGAGCACCCTTGCATGTGCTCAATTCATGTATGGCCAGGGAGTTCCTTATATTGGGAAGAATCTCCACAGCACTTTGGGGTCAACATGAGCCATGCCTCAAAATCATCGACAGGAGAAGAAGACGAAGGAGAAGAAAGAGAAGAAGCGCAAGGTATGATAGTGGGGCGGTTGGCACTCAAGCTCGCACTCCCTGCTGCCAACTCAGTATCTGGGGGACTCGAGCTGCCCCTCATGCCGCCACATTGCAACTGCGCAGCAGGTTGAGGAGGCTCAGTCAGTGGTGCCAGAGGTAGCCTCGCCAGTGGTAGAGCCGCCCAAGAAGAAGAAGCGGAAGACGAGCGAAGCTGAGACGTCTGCTGCTCCGGTACCTGCAGAATCTGCACCAGCTGTCAAGAAGAAGAGCAAGGCCAAAGCTGCGGAAGCGGCTGCCTCTCCGGTACCAGTGACTGAGCCTGCAGCACCAGCAGCCGTCTCTAAGGAGAAGGAGGAGAAGAAGAAGAAGAAGAAGAAGAAGGCGGAGGCGGAGGCGTCTGCGGCCATGGAGAAGGCTGCGCCTGTGGAAACCGTTGGAGCCCCTGTGACCGAGGAGAAGAGGAAGAAGAAGAAGAAGGGTGCAAGTGTGGAGGACAGCCCTGCCGAGACTGCCTTGCCGGCAGCTGGTACGGCGGAGGAGCCTGAGCCCCCCGCTCCGGGGTCTAGCACCCGCCAAGACATTGAGGAGACACAGGCGGTGGAGGAGGCTGCGCCACGCCAAGGCACCGCTGCCAAGGCCTTCCAGAGGGTGAAGGCGGAGGAGTGGATTGACAAGCGAGGATCGTGGGACAACTCCTACGTCGGCACTTTTGGCGAACAAGGCTGGGGCTTCAAGGCGCAGCAAATCCTTGGACAGGTGGGAAGAAGGGACGGCGTGCGGCAGTGGGCTGAGGGGAAAGTGGAAGGTCATCTATGTAAGGGTCGGGTGATGCTGAGGGAGTTGGTTTGCAGCATACTGCGGGCCACCGGCAAATGAGGATGCTCCAAGCCACATTGCATGCTATCGTGCCCTCCTGCTCCCCATCTCCCAACCCTTCCAGGTACGTGGCAAGGACTTCCGTCATGAGAAGACGAAGAAGAAGCGGGGCTCATACAAGGGAGGGCTCATTGACTCCCACACCGTGAGCAGCTACAAGTTTGACAGCGATGGCGAGTAAAGTCATGCCTGAAACTGAGACTCTAGCAGCCCTTAGCATTGTTCAGATACATTGGCCACCCAAACATTGCTCCAGTGGGCATGTTCCATCCCTAAGTGACCTGTAACCACAGATGCTGATAGATTGCAGATTGAGGGGGGCGCAGAGAATACGTCCCCTTGTTGCTCCTCTTAGCATCGGAGTGTGACAGAATTATAGTATCGTTTCTACTTCCAGCGTTGGCAAGTTCCTGCGTGATCTTTCAAGGTGGCATGCTAAAGCAGGAGCAAGTGCCTTTCCTCTGCTGCATTTGTGGCCAGGATGTTTGGCGGGGGCCAGATTGATGGATACACTGTGCAGCGTACCAAACAAGAGAACGTACACTATCGAGCGCTGGACCAGCCTAATCTCTGCCCGCACATGCATTGGTATGAGACGCGCCACTTTTACATTCTCAGTCGAAGCTGAGTGAGCAAAGCAGAGCATGCCAGTATGATTTCTAATGGTGACCCGTCACATGTGGAACAGTGTGGATGATAGCGACCGTAAACGCGATGTATACAAGTGTTCACATCTTCCAAGTGGATAACAAAACAAAAATGAGTGTTGTCAGCTCTCTGACGCCGGGGCGTGTTCCCTGCACACTGCCTAATGACTTACGGGTGAGATACAATGCCGGTCCCTCATGGGCTCCAGCGGCCGACAATATTCCGTTGCCTTCCCTGCATGAGCTGCGTGCCCGGATCTTCTCTGGCATAGGGTATGTGTATGTGGCCATATCACAACATATCGACCTCTGTTGAAATGTGGACCATGAAGTACTGGTTGAACGTGCTAGTCCGGCTTCAGTAGAGGTTCCCATCTTTTCGGTTATTGGCTACGCCATGGAGCATCGGGGCTTCTCATGCCGGAACACCCCGGTCAACCCATGCGACCGACACTTCCGAGTCGACTGCAATCGTCACAGTATGTTCGCTGTGAACCCTTTATGATCCTGAAGATATTGCGCTCCGATCCACATCGCGGTGGACGACGTCGCAACTTCCCTTGTCCGTGACAGACGGTCACCAAGCAGGTCCTCCCCGGCTTCGGCGAGAGTCGGGGCCCAGCCGATGTTCTTCCTCACGCTCCTGGCTCCCATCTTCGCTCCTTATATCCTGGGATGGCCTGCCCTCGCCACTCTCGTCACGCTGGCAGCCGATCTCGGCATCACCTTAGGTCTAGGGGTGGCGGCGGGTAACCCGGGCCTCCCGGATTACCTGTCCCTGTCCCTGACCATCACCCTGGTGGGAGCGTGGCTGGGCCTGACCCTGGCCACCGCCCTGTGGCGCAACCTGGAGTCCTCCTTCGACAGGATGCCCTGGCTGCGCCACACCCAGGAGCTGCAGTCCCGGAAGGGGGGCAGGACATACCAGACCAAGTGCCCCTTCACCGGTGCGCCCAGGGATGGTTGGCGTGGTGCGTGGTGGATAGAGGACTCACCGGGGCAGCATGCAGCCGTGGCAAGGCCACGGGCGGGGACGGGAGGGGCCTGCACGACCAGGCTGAGCACCATGCCTCGCTTTCCACCTGCACACCTCCTCCCGCCAACCCCTTCCCCCTTACTCTCACACACGCGTGATTTTCCAGGGTTGCGGCCCACCGCCCGCTGCCCCAGCTGCAGCTGCCGTGTGCACGACATCGCGCTGCAGCCCCCAGACCGGTGGGTGGAGTCGCTGCCCGTCTGCGACGTCCCCCTGCGCTGGGACCTGGCCAAGGAAGCCATGGCAGGCGCCGAGAACCCCATCCAGGTGGGTGGGATGGCGAAGGGGGGGATGGCAGGGCACGGGCACGGCGGCCACTGCACACCATGCATCCTCCCCCCTCCCCCTGGCCCCAAGTCTGCAGGTGTCTCACCCTGGCCCCCTCCCTTCCCCACCCCCCAATGGAAGGCCCGCGAGTCGCTGGATCGGGCGCTGGACTTCCGCGGCAACGTGCTGCTGGCGGGCGTGACCACCTGCTGCGTGGGCTGCGCGGCCTGGCAGAAGAACTGCCACCTCCGCCCCCGCCTGGCCCTGGGCATGACCTCGGTGTCCGTCACCTTTGTCATCCTACCCTGGGCCTTCTCAGGTTTCTCCGACACCATCGGCGTCGCAGGTGTGGGGCCCTGGTCGTGTGTGGGGCTGGGTGCCTGACCTGTGGGACTTCACCTTGCCGTGCTCGGCGCAGGTCGCTGTTCCCATGCCAGTGCGATCATCCATCGGTGGCCGTGCAGCCCCCTCCGGATCAAACCCACCCACCAACGTGCCCCAACGCCCAGGCACGGCGCTGCAGGTGGCCACCGAGGCGCTGGCGGTGAGCTACTCCACCCTGGCCCTGCTGGTGCAGATCCAGGCGGTGCTGAGGGCCAATGCCTTCCTGGTGGAGTATGCCGCCGCCGTGCCGGAGCTGCTCCCCCTGTTCCGGCCGCCCACCGCCGGGTTGCTGGCCCACCTGCATGCCCTGTTTCTTCACACGCCGTGGGAGGGGTGAGGGGCTCTTTCATGACCCCATTGCCGGAATGTGGCCCTTCCCCTGACCTCCTCGACCTGGTCTGCCATTGGATACTCGCTCTGTTGATGGGTCTACAGTCTTGCACTGTGTGTGATTTTCAGGGAAGCAGCAGCCACGCTGCCGCAATAAAGACCAAGCAAACGACAAAGCGAAGACCGCTATGAAAGGAGGGGGTCGGGCAGGCAGAATAGATTATCTCATACACTGGAGAGAAAATGGCAAGATGCTTTCCTGAGTCAAGGGTGCTGCCAGGGGGGGGGGTTTCAGCGGGTGCTCCATTTAAGAAGATTTGCAGCGGAG